TGGGGGAGAGGGGAGCAGCAGTGCTCTTTACTCCTCCTTCCACCCTTTGGGAGCTCCCTCTACTGATAAAATCACAGGACCAGTAAAACACACAACGAAACACCCTATAAAACTTAAGCTGCATACCTCACAATATAGTGAAGAAGAGGTGTTGTAAACCTTATCTTTGTGTCTTCAACACTTAGCAAATGCCTGACTTATAGCAGAAGCTTAAACAATGGGCAGCAAAGTGGCACTGTGAATAGAATGCTGGGCCTGGAGTCTGGAAGACTCCTCTTTCTGAGTTCAAAGCTGCCCTTGGATGCTTACCAGCTGTGTGACTCTGGGCAAGTCATTTAACTGTTTGCCTCAGTTTCCTCATCAGTGAAATGAGCTGCAGAAGGAAATGGTGAAACACTCCAGTGTTTTTGCCAAGAGAACCCCAAATTAGGTTATGAAAAATCCAACATGACTGAACAATAGAAAGCTAAACAATGCTTGTTTGTTGACTGACTGACGATGAGTGCATGAAGCCATAAGGGATCAGTGATTTTGTCAGCATAGGGAACACACTATGATTAAGTAGCTAGAGATCCTAGGGAGTTTTCTGTTGCATAGTGATGTGCATGGGGTCAGCAAATTTTATCTATACTTCAACTCATTTCAACTGACTTTTTTTTTTTTTTTTTAGCTATGCACCTCACCATGGTATGGAGTTACTCAGGGTTCTTAAAGATTATGCCATGACTTTGTAAGATCTGGCAAAAAAATTTGGCGGAAGGGAGGAGATGAAAATTAGGATTTCCCATGATCCCCACTCCCTAAAAAAAGGGAGAAGGAAATCCAAAGGCAATCAGAGCAAGAGAGCTTTGAAAGCAACATGTTGAATTTATTACATACTTAAAGAAAAACAAGTTCTATGTAACATAGATTTGCAATTGCATATCCAGGCTTCTTTTGTTCTTATAAGTATATGGAAATGTTCATTTTTTAAGAGGTATTTGTCATCTTTGGAATAAAAATAAAATAAAATTTAAAAAGTAATCGATTGGTAGTTTGATATGGTATAGAATAAAGTAAATTAATTTAAATATCATTATCATTTTTATGTTATTGTCATGGCCTAACCACAAGTAATTAGTGTTTCTCCAGTTACTTAGGTCTGTGCATTTCTGTGAATGGTGTTTTGTAGTTGTACTTCTGTGTGTGTCTTGGTAGGTGGATTTATTTATATTTTTTGTATTCTATAGTTATTTTGAATGGAATTCCTCTAATTTGCCTGATGGGTTTTGTTAGTAACATACAGAGATGCTGATAATTATTGTGGGTTTATTTTATATCTTGATACTTTTCTGGTTATTGTGCCAAATGTCTTTTTAGTTGACTGAGATTCTCTAAATAATCAACGTATCATTTGTAAAAGTCAGTGTTTTGTTTCCTCTTTGCTCTTGTTTATTCTCTCAATTTGTTTGTCTTATTGTTATAGCTAAGATTTCTTATGCTGTAGTGTTTGCAAATACTCCTAATTTTAATAGAAAGGCTTTTAATCTTTCTCTATGACATACAATGCTGGTTCTGGATTTTGTTTTAATTTATTTTTATTTTTGGATTTTAGATAGATAATTTACCACACTAACACAAGGTTCAGTTATCCTTATACTTTTTGGCATTTTAACAGAAATGGGTGTTGAACTTTGTAAAAAAATTTTCATCATCTATTGACATAATTATGTTTTTGAAATTATTTTAGTTATTATTACAGTCTCTTATGTTTATTTTCCCTAATTTGTCCACATTCCTTTTAGTTACTTCACAATATATTTCAATGTTGGGAGTTTGTTTTGCTTATTCCTCTTAAATCTCACCTCTTTCTTCTATCTCTATTTATTTTCTTGTTGAGTTGAATGTTTTTTCCATACCAAACTCTTGGTATATGTGGATGTGTATTCACCTTTCCTTTGTCTGGTAGAGATGAAAGGGAGGTTCATGAGATACCCATTCTTCCCACCTTTGCTGCACATTTTTATACACTTCACCTTATTATTCACTCTTATTATTTATGGTAGTGTAAGTTCTTTCTTCTTCCTCCTTTTTTTCCTCCTCATTCATTCCCATTTCCCTTCCATTTTCTCTTCTTTTAAGAACCATCCAAACAGAACACCTCCAGTCACTCAATGTTTTATATAATTTTCCCTATGACCCTTGAAGACAGGAATGTGAGAACACTTGTTTCTTTTCCTCTATTTGAATGCAAACAATTCATCAGAGAGTTTCTTCCAGTTTATAAAATAAATTTATATTTTTCTTGACTTCTGTATATGCAATTCAGAGTTTCTACTCAGCTTTGGCTTTTCATGAGGAATTCTTGATAGTCCTCTATCTCATTAAAGTTCCATCTTCTCCCCTGTAGGATTATGTTCAGTTTTGCCAAATAGATTATTCTTGATAGTAAGCTGAGGTATTGTGAGGCTCAAATGGATAGATAATGGTCCAGTCACAAGGCTTTTAGTCTACTGATGACTTATTTCATTCCTTGAGCCTACTACTACACTCCTATTGAGCTCAAGCAATGTTTATAGAGTAATACAGAGGTGTGCTGGTAAATATTTAACAACTGCACTCTCTGGAAAAAAAATGCACGTATATATATATATTTTAAATTTAATCTGCATTATTGACATTTTCATACGTCTAGAAAATCAACAAAACAATAAATCAAGTCTTGATGTATAGTGATTGCTGATTTCTGACACATAAATATTTACACTAAAAAGTTAACAATCAATTGTCAGAGCTAACTCCAGCACACCCCTTGTTGTAAGCCTTTTTCATTAACCCTGGAATATCACATTCCAAAGTTGTCCTCTATTTTATTGCGTCAGCTGCCAAACACTGTGTGTTTCTGAAGGTGGCTTCTTGGTGCTCTGACAGACCTTTTACAGGACACGAGGTATAGGGAACTCATATTTAGACAGGGGTTGAACTTGATGACTTCTGAAGTCTTTTCCAACTCTGCATTAATTGTGATCTTAAAGGTATTATTCATCTTCCAGTCAGTAACATAATCTCATATCTCTAGCTAGAGGCCATTCAATTCCCAGCTCATCACTTCGGGGTCTAGGTCACTTCAGGAGTCCTCAGCTCACACTGGTCAGTGCCTAAATTCAGTCCAGGCTCAGGCATAGCCCCACTTTGGCCTAGAGTATTTCACCTTTCACTATAGTTGGCACAGTCTTAGATCAATGGCTCAGCAAGCCTAGTATACTCTGGCAGATTTACCAAAAGATGAATCGTAGAAGGGAGCTGTACTCACCTAACAAACTATTTCCAGCTGTTTCCATAACTTACATCATTGTCAAAGAACAAAGATTGGCTACCACTGAAGATGTTCAAAAGACAGGTAGCCTGAGGCAGAAGTCCTGGCTTTGCAGATGCCTAGTTATGTGACTTTGGGCAAGTTACTACTGCCAGCCTTAGTTTCTTCATCTGTATAATGGGTGATTTTCTTGCTTGCCATTTTTCTCTCTCCCTTGGCACATAGGCTAGGAAATTACAGGGGATCTTCTTTTCATTAACTCCAAAGAATAGATACAGAATCAAGAATACCCAACACACACCAGGCAGTGACAGACACACAAATGTCTACCCCAATGGGGAGTTTATTTGGTTGAAACCATGAAGGTTGGGGCCCTACCTAAGGCACTTGTGAGCAATAGGAATAAGTTCAGGATACCACGCCACATATGCCCCAAACATGAGAATATGGGAATGCAGAGCCCCAGCATCCTGGATTCCATGATGGGGATGCTGTGGGGAGGAAGGAGTTGGCTCCTAGGGCTGAGCAGCTCCTCTTCTTCTATAAGTGCTCAAAGTTTACCTTTCACAGGGCTGGGCACTGGGCCCTGCCACTGTTCTCCTGGAAGAAGAAAACCAGGTACCTTCTATACACAGTCCTAAAGGAAGGGAGTACCTGGGACCTAGGCAAAGTATGCTATCTACTATTCTCTTCCCTTACCCCTTCTCATGCCCACAAGGACCCACGGAATTCTTGGAATGAGACATTCTTGGTTTAAGGAGCAGATGGTTTCTCCATATCTTCTACAATATTCATGGTTTCCTTACAACAGAGATTGCTTCTACTTTTTAAGACAGAGCCTGTTCCCCTTTGAAGTGTCCAGTGCAAGGCTCTGCCTCTTGGAAACTTAATGAAAATTTGTTGCTCAAGAATGCCTGCTTCCTCTAACCTCTTCCTCAGTGGTAAGTTTGGCAGGTAGGCAGGGCTGTGGGATAAGGAATGTCTTATCAATGGTAAGGGAAAGTTTCTCCAACTCACTTAGCAGATGGGCCAGCAGCTCCATCCTGTCAGAGCCAAAGAGCATGTGGGATTTGTTAGCCATATGGACCACTGTGATGGGCAATCCAAAGGCCTGGAGAAAGAGTGATCACAGTACAATACAGAAGAGACAAGAAAGAGGACCATGAAGGGTGGAAGTCAATGTTGACTTAGATTGATGAAGGGAACTGGGGTTAGGGGATCCAGTATCAATGCAGATTGCAAAAGACCACATAGGAGATAGGCAGGAGAGTCTCTGTCTTTCTGTCTCAACATTGTTTCTTTTCTATCTCATCCCTTCTTTCCCTATCCATTTCTCCCCTTTCCTTTCTTCTCTTGCATTTATTAGTTGACTAATAATGGTGAGGAATGGGAAAGTGTCATATTGGGAAGGTGGGCTTGTGGAAACAAATTCTAAGGTGTATCAGAATTCCTTACCCAGTGTCTTCAAGGATCATAAGCTGGATTTGGGACATGGGGGACCAAAGCTCCTCACCCCATATTTGCAGGCTGTATTTGTGGTCTCTCTTAGTTTCTTCTTCACCTCTTCAGTTGAACACTTTTCCAGTAGGTACTTAGCCAGTTCTTCAGAAAGTCCTGCTTTCTCTGCAGCCTGTGTAAGTGAGGTAGATGAAAGGCCATAGAGAGTGGGGTGGGAGGATTAACTTCCAGAAATGAACTCCTCCTTCTCATGGACCTCAGAAATAAAGTGTGTGTGTGTG